CTGCAGTCCCAGGCCCCAGTGAAAGAGAGTCCCTCCTTCTTGTTTATTATACTGGGAGCAGGCCACACCCCCAAGAGAGCATCTCTTTAATTGATTGGCTGCTCATAGCCACACACACTATGCCTGTATCAGGTCCCATTATCATGGGAATAAGGAGCTCTGGTAGCTCAGGGGTTATGAAACGGGCTGCCAATTTCACGCTATCAGCTGTTAGAAATTACCAGCCGTTATGCGGGACAAAGATGAGGCTTTCTGCTCCCATAAAGATTTACAGCCTCGGAAACCCTGTACAGGGTCGCTATGAGTCGGAACCGACTCCACGGCACATAACAACAAAAACAAGCACATTCGCAACTGCTAAGCTTCTGGAAATCCTGGCCTAGTCAAGTTGACGTAGAATCCTAACCATTATACCATCTAACAAAATAGGAAAAGGAAGCAGCATTTTCACATACACACACACACCGTCAGGGTGCAAATGTAATAAAACCATTTATGTTTATTTATCTTGTCTAAGAAGGCGTTTTCTTGGTCGGTTCCTGGGTGTCTCTTATAAGCACTTAAATCTTTGGGAGAGTACACTGTATGATTTTAAAGGAGCGCTTTTAGACTACTGTTTTAGGCAGATGTTTCTAAATCTTCATTTCCTCCTCTATAAAATGGAGGGCTTGCAAGAGAAGGTTTGAAGGCTTTTGGCAGCTGAATACAGGGAAGTAGGAAGAGCACTGGACTTGGAATCTCTAGACTCACACCTTGACTGACTAACTCTTACTAGCCTGGGACCCCAAGACCTTGAGGCTCAGTTGCCTCCCCTGGAGAACAGAAATGATCATAATCATCTATCTTCAGTGGTTTTTCTGAGGGTCAGAAGCAAGTGGTGTGGAAGTGGGATTGCTGTGGGCAGTGAAGGGGGTTCTGGGATGCATGGTTCACACCACATTGTGTAATAATCATGTCACACAGTGTCAGGTATCCCCTCAACTAGGACTGAGGCCAAATAAGAAGCCCACATTTAAATGATGTTCTCTTCCTTTTTGTGACTAGGAAATTCCAGTTTGCACACTGGTTTGGCCCAGCATCGCAGGAGAAATCGCTTGGGATGTGTCTTTTGTAACATTGAACTTCTTGGTACCAGGCCTTGTCATTGTGATCAGTTACTCCAAAATTTTACAGGTATGTATGCTTCTCGCCCGACAGCCAAACTTCACTTGCGCTCAGAGTATTTCAGGTCAAGTCTGAGAATTTCAGGGTCAAGAGAGGTCACTCTGGTCCACTCCTCGTCCACTGACCAGATCCATCTACTCTACAACATTGAGCAGAGTATGTCTAGCACTAAAAATAAAATAACTTCTAGCTTTGTAATTATTTTATTTTCTGATGACTAAAAATATATAAGCTCATTATTTTTAAAATTAAGATTCTAAGAGACATCCAGAAATGTATAAGATTGAAATTGAAAATCTACTCAAGCAGTATTTTTTCAAGTTATTTTTCTCATAAATTTACATATGTGTGGGTGTGTGGGGTGTGTGTGTGTGTGTATGTGTGAAAGAAAAAAAGAGAAAATATCTAGAGCGAAAACTACTTAAGTCAAATGGATTTTCCCATAGAACGAAGATATAATATCAAGTTAGATCCCTGATTGTGGGCATGATGTGTATTTATATAAACACACACACACATCCACATGAGGGACTTCAAAAAGTTCACAGAAAAATGGAATTAGAAAACAATGGAATCTTTCCACAAAATTTTTGAAGTCCCGGTGTGGTCTTGCATGTTAATGCACTGTTCAACAAGGTCAGTTTGAACTGCAAGGTTGGCAGTTCAAGCTCACCAGATGCTCCTTGGAAACCCTATTCTATACAGAGTCGCTATGAGTCAGAACCAACTGGACAGCACTTAACAACAACAACATATACATTATAAGTATGTTACATACTTATAAATCCATGAAACAGCAGGTTAAAATGGTCACTTTCAGCTATTTTACATAGTTGAATCCAGTTTTCCTCAGATATGAATTAGTACTATCTGCGCTGTAACTCTCTTATCTTACTTAGCACTGCATCTCTGTTGTCTTTCCATATTAGTTCCTAGGTCTCTATATCATTCCTACATGGTCATCTTGCACACAGATGGACCTTAGGGTTGTATGCATTGTTTCCCATCACAGCCTGTGGCCCAGGCAGACAGCATGCACATAGATGTAAACCCATTTTAGAAGGTTTAATACCTCCTCTCGGAGGTTTACAGCTGTTGAATCTTGGTTTTATAGCATATTATGGGTCATCTGGTAAATGGGCGTGTTGAAGTCATACCCAGTTGGTCCTGCTTACTGCCTGACTACTTTTATGGTTCTTTCTTAGTAACTCGGCATCTACAGCTTTCTTAGATGCTCAGAATCCAAAGATACACTCACCCACAGCCACATCTGCTAATCCTTGTTATGAGATTCCCCCGCAATGTTATTCCCTAAATTCTTCCCCGCCCATTGGCTCAAACCAAATCAAACTTACTGCTATCATGTCGATTCCGATTCATAGCAATCCTGTATAGGGTTTCCAAGGCTGTATATCTTGACAAGAGCAGACAGTCTCATCTTTCTCCTGCAGAGCGGCTGCTGGGTTTGAACTGCTGA